ATTATAACAATAAAAAAATAAAACGGGCAAAAATTTAATGTCTACAGAACTAACTTGGATCCACTGACTGTCGTATTTCTGCTAAAAGGAAACTCGGGTGTCCTGATTGTTTCCCGAGCGTCAACCAAGGCTAGTTTTATGTAAACCTATCTATTTTTGTTTCTACTATTATGATATTAATTATTGTTCTCACTTGAAGTCTTATTTGAGGATATACTAAAGTGTTAGGGTACCTCGAGTCTAACTCCCTTAAAAACTAGCCTTTTGTCCAAAACAGACTGAAAGTATCGATACTATCCCAAGAGTATCGATACTCTTGTAAAAGTTTTGATACTTTATATAAGTATCTATAATATCCCAAACATCGGATCAGTGACTAAAGTGTAAGAATTCAAAATTTAGTGGTTTGATTTAGATAAATTGAAATGTTCAAGGATTGATTTGGGAATTTTTGTTTAGGATTAATTCTCAAAGATTGAAGGATAAAAGGGAAAAATGATCTTTTGTCATGATATGAATTTAAAATTCAATTTTAAAGTTATATAACATGTGAGGAAAAAGGAAAGGCGTAGAACTATTCTCTTCATCTTCTCTTCTTCCTTCTTCCACAGTGAGCTCCATTGCTAAGGTAAGTGTTCTTGAAGTTGGTTGTTTCTTTCAATTTTGAATTGGTTTTGAATCTTTAGGTGGTATAGAAGCTTAAGAAAACTTAAAGATGACTAAAAACTATGAGATTGATGAGTTAATGATAATTTGGTAAAATGAGTTTTAAGGGAGTTGAAGAAAATTGGTTAGTAATTGGATTTTAAAGGTATATTTGACTTGTCAAAGGTTTGAATAAGATGTTTGAAGTATTATAAAGAATCAGAAACAAGTTTGAAGAATGGGATTGATTTTTAGTTTTAAGTGTTCTAGTGGGAATTTTGGATGTTAAGGGGATTTAATTGATGTAAGTTGGTTGTGATAAGTTTTATTGAGTTTAAGGACATGAAATGAGTCAAAAGTATGAGATTTATGTGAGTTTTGGGTAAAATTCAAAATGAAATAAGTGAAATATGAGTAAGGGTATCGATACTGGAAGAGCAGTACTGATACTATAAGGTTAAATGAAAAGAAATTATATGAATCGGATAAATAGTATCGATACTGCATGGGTAGTATCGATACTAGGGGTATCGATACCAATAGTGAGGTATCGATACTATAATTGAAGAGGAAATTCCATAATGCAAATTGGGTATTGATACTGAAGTAGGTATCAGTACCGTAGAAGGGAAATATCGGTACTGGGTGTAGAGTGTCGATACTGTTCAACATGAAATTGTGAATTAAGTGTTTTATTTAGTTATGTAAATGCTTATTGATTTACAATTAATTAAGCTCCGATATTCATATTGGTCATGTTAACTTGTAGATTCGATCGAAAGTGAAAGTGAAAGTGAAAATGATGTTTGCTTAGGGCTTAAGTGAGGCAAATGTGAGTGCAACTTAATTATTTTATATTAGATATGAGAACGACTTGTGGTAAGCCAACCTCAAAGGTTTTTTTATAAAAAACAATTTTAATTATTTTATGTAATATCTTTATAACGTTTTATATAAATTGTATTTCTGAAGTATTGTTTTGATTTTATTAGTATGTGAACATGTTATATGTGAATGTGTTCTATATGAAAATGTTCTATGTGAATGTGTTCAACGTGGAAAAATGATACTTTGAATAATGTAATGTGAAATAATTATATGGTTAAAACCCAAAGTACATGTTATGAGAATTAGAGGTATAGTTGGCATGCCAAGAGTCGAGGGTTCTACGCGGTCCTTCGGGACAATTCTATATGGTCATTCAGGACAATTCTACGTTGTCCTTAGGGACAAATCTATATGGCACTTTGGTGCATATTCTACGTGACACTTCGGTGCGAATTCTACGCGGCAGTTTCGACTGCAATTATAGTGCACAACCTCAAAGTACTCACATATCTTGAGTTCCCAGTGATATGTGTTTGGCTATTTAAATAAGTTAATATGAATTGAACAGTGCTTAAAAGTATATGTTATTTATATGAAATGCATAATGTTTTCCGTATTCAATGTTTTTTGGTATTCAATGTTTTCTTTGAAATGTTTAAACAAGTGTTTTAAATATTTTATTATGCTCATTTATGTCTCATTAAGTCATAGACTTAGCTTGTGAGTGTTTTCACACATAGGTTCAGAGAAGACAGTGAAGTAAACTAGGGAAGGACAACATAACGTTGAAGAATATCATATCAGACTGATTTGAAGAGTATGTGATTTTGTTATTTGAAATTTGGTTGGCATGTACTATTAATGTTTAAATCGTAAATACCCTGATATGTCTTGTAATTATGTTTTCATTGTCCAATAAAAGTAAAAAGTTAAATTTTAGTCAGATTTTTCAAAGAGTCAAAGCATTGAAAAGTCAATGTGACACCTCAGATTTGTATCCAGGTCGGGTACGGATCGGGGGTGTTACAGTACCGATACTTTTAAACATTCTGTTCTGCCTAGTTTCGAAACTTTCTGGGAATTTCGAAACTATGACCAAAAGTATCAATACTCTTGAAATAATATTGATACTCTTGGCCAGAAACTCACGAGTTTTCCCGAGAAGAAGAACAAGTTTCGATACTATCACTCTATTATCAAAACTCAACCTACATAGAGCATAAAATAGGTACAGAAACTCCTATTCTACTATCCCAAAAACCTTAGTGAGGTCCCCAAACATTATTAATGTTTTATAAAGATATAAATGAGCATAAATAGGGCTTTAGACATGTTTATAGCTCTAAAACATGAAATCTATCTTGGGAATGCTTCAAGATTATGCAACCTACTACATTTCATCTAAATGGCTTACATATGGTATAATTGAGTCAAGAGTGAGTTACCTTTGATGTTATACTACTGGAAATGTCAAAGGCTCAGCCCAAAGTAAGCTTTTTTTCCCATTAGATTTGGAGCATTCTTCAAACTCTTGCATTAAACAAAACCAAATGCAAGGGTTACTAACAGTTTCTAGGGATTAGGAGGGGTTTAAAAACACTTTTTAAGACTAGAAATATATGAAAAATGGGTTGGAACCATCTAGTTCCTAAAACCCTTCTAAACCCGTTCTTGCAACTATTGTGAAATGAGTGTCTTGAGAGCTTGATACAAAGTTTGGGATACAAGGATCATGATTCTTACCTTTAGGTTGCTGAACTAGGGTTGCAAGACTACCAAATTTCTATATTTACTTGGTTCTTGGAGAGGAAGAAAGAGCTATTAAGATGAAGAAGTGACAAAGGAGAGTTGAGAAAAAGAGGGTGTATCAGACATGATATCACCAAGCAATTAAGGATTTCAGCCTTAATTTTGAACAAGGGTAAAATTGCTTCTTTGGTCCCTCCAATTCTGACTGCAGATTAAAAACACCCTTTTTAATTCACTATTGGGCTCAACTCAAGCCCAAATCCTCTTCAATTTGGGTTAAGGCTTCCTACAAGCTAAGGAATTAATTCAAGGCCCATCTCAGTTTAGCTCAATACTTCTAACCAAGTATTCGGGGAGTTAAAATTTCACTTCACCATCTCACTCTTTCATAAACTTACACACACCCCTTATCATACAAACCAACCCCTATTTTCATCATTTCAAGCTCACCCTTGTACCATTTACATCAACCATCCAAGCATATATCTTTTAAAGTCTTCACTTATTTGTAAGTTTTTTGCTTCCATCTTATATCCACAATCAAACATAGGTCACCCCTATATCAAAATACATTGTGTTTATCTATTGACCCTTCAAAATGGACTTATCAAGGTTATCCATATTGATAATTGTTATATTATGGAAAATCGATTTGATGTGCATTACGAAATGTAATATCGAAATTATTTTATTAAGGATGATTTTAGAGTAAATTTTTGAACTAATTTATAAGTTGTCAATATTAAATAAAGAAAATTGTATTCTATTTAAATAATTTATTTTGCATTAGTCGACAAGTTATCCATTTAAATGTTTGAATCAAATTATTTTAATTATAATATTATAATTGAATGTAATTAATTTATGGGTCGAGTCAATGTTTAAAGTTATTAATTAATAGGAAGGGTGAATTTCCATTTGAGATATGATGGGAGCCACGTAGGAAGTGTGGAAAATGGTGACGTATTGCATTATGCAAGCTGGATATATGGTGGTGGCAGCCACATGGCCATTTAGTGTGGAAAATGGTGATGTCATGCCTTATGGAAGCTTGACCTTGACGGTCCTCACTCGCTCATTCTTAATGTGTGTGTGTGGGTGTGTGGGGGGCTTCTACTTAAAAGATCTTGGACACGTTCTTATCTCTAGACTTCAAACTACCACTTGACCTTCTCTCTCACACTTCTTTTTCTTCGTATGCTTTCCAATGTTATTTCATTAATGGATAAGAATAAAATTTTAAAATAAAATAAATAAATAATTAAAACATATTAAGATTTCAAAGTGAATAGGCACTCGTCCTAAACCAGCAGTGCATCTACTACGGATTATAATGATATATTTGGGCATCAAAATTGAAAAGAGATCAATTATAAATAATAATAAAATAAAATTTATAATTGAATTGTTACGTTATTAATTTAAAATCTAAAGATTAAAAGTTTTAATTAATTTTAAATACAATGAAAATGAAATATGAACGCGAAGGATTTATAATTATTATCACTCCCAACTTCTTGATTGATTGTAGAAATATTTCGGAAGGCATCGTCCGGTCCACTTTGACCTTTAATATTTGACCTCTCCCTTCAATCTCCATGGATCAGTTCAAATATAAATATTTTTCATATATGATTATATAAAATATTTTTTTTTAAAGTTGAGTTTGACTTTTTCTTCTTCTCAACCTATATAAGCTGCTCTTACGTATCCTCACTTGTGTTATCTCATTTCCTTGCCTGCTTTCGACTTCAATCCTTAATATTCGTCCTAAAGACATGAGTGGTTTTAAAGTAGACGAGAGCTTCGGAAACGGAAGCAGTGGCGAAAGGAAGTACAGAGGAGTCCGTCGTCGGAGATGGGGGAAATGGGTGTCCGAAATCCGAGTCCCCGGCAGCCAAGAACGTCTTTGGTTAGGCTCATATTCGACGCCGGAAGGTGCCGCCATGGCCCACGACGTTGCTTTCTATTGTCTGCGGCAGCCGTCTTCCTTGAATGCTCTCAACCTTCCGACCATGTTGCCTCCCTATGTCGATGCCAACATGTCCCCCAAGTCTATCCAGAGAGCCGCATCGGATGCCGGCATGGCCGTCGATGCCGTCCGGGTGATGGAGATCAGTCCAGTCGGCAATGAGGCCGAAAAGGTTAACGGAAACGTTGGGATCATGGGCGTTGTGGCTGAGTGGTGGGAAGTAGGAGGGGAGGCGTTGAGCATCTCTGTCGATGATTATCTTGAGTGTTGATACTACAATCACAGCTTTATCCATCTGCCGTTATCTCACATGCAGATCAATTTGTACATACAAACTATGATTAGGGATTTGTACTGCTATTGAGATGAATGACGATCAAAATCACAAAGTAAACAGCGGTATTCTGAAGGTCGTTTAAATCCCTTAATAATTCATTAATGAGAAAGCAGCCGCTTATTTTCTTAATTCACAAGTATTTTGCAATCTCTACCAACTCCATACGTCATGTAATTGAATTACTTCTAATTTTTCGACTAATTAATAATTTTTTTTTTGAAAGATACCCTTGAGCTTTACTACAAAAGAATAATATTATATCATAATAAACTAATCAATTTAAATGCTATTAAATTTCTCTGCTGTCTTTGTCATATAATTTAATACTTTTCCTCTCAGCAAAATATTATAATTTATATCCTCGTAAAACATTTTATACAAAATATTTCCTTTCTGTCGTATATTACTATGCCACATATCAACTCAATTAATAAATTATCAAAATATATTTAGTTTTAAAAATAATCAGTATTATTATTATTTGTTCATAATAGAAATCAAAATGAAACAGAAAAAACAGTTGGAAGCGAAAATTAAAGAGAAAAACATTGAGCGTCTCAAAAATCTTTGGTTTGTCGCAATGTTAGGAGCTAATCTCACGATGTGGTTTCCCACCCACTTTCCTTCTTGTTTTCTTTTTTACTTTCACTTTGATTATTTTACAGTATTGTCGTCTATTTCCTTTTGTTCTCTGCTTTCATGTTCCAGGATAAACAAAACACATATGTTTTTGTTATTCTGGAAACAAATAACTTCAATATTTTTTATTCTTTTGGATTTCGTACTAGTTTTTCTCTACCACCCATTTTCTCATTGCTCCTCTAACATTAGATATTTGTAAAAAGAAAAATACTGTTTTATTCATTCCGCGGTTCCTCAGATTTTGATTGCTTCACTGTAGATAATCATTTTTCACATTGAAAAGCTGGAAAAAAAACCCTACAAATATACATATTAATTCTCTGGAAAGAGTGTTGAGTTGAGGTTTTCCCTTGAATGGTGAAAACTAGGTTGGCTTTTATACACATTTGGGCAATGCATGTATTTAAACATCTATTCAAGAACAAGGTATCCTGTAAGAAAAACAATATTATGGGCTGCATTTACTCAAGGGGAGCCAAAGATGTCAAAATTAAGGACAAACTCCGGAAGAAGATCAAATGTAAAGATAAGGCATCATCAATGCAATTGGTTGTTCCTTTACCCTCACAAGACGACGATAATTTCAACGGAGACGAAAAGCTCGGCAACGGTGGCCAACTAGATGCACCTGAATGGCCATCATGGCTAGCTTCGGTTGCCGGAGAGGCTGTTAAGGGATGGAAGCCTCGGCGGTTCGAATCTTTCGAGAAGTTAGAGAAGGTAATGAGTAACATTATTAACATGACTTATATGTTAGCTTTACCTGATTTTTGTTTCCCCTATTGACATAATTAGTCGTATTGTAGATTGGTGAAGGAGCTTATAGCAGTGTATATAAGGCTCAAGATCTTGAAACCGGTAAAATAGTTGCCATGAAGAAGGTTCGGTTCGTTAATATGGATCCAGAGAGTGTTCGTTTCATGGCCAGGGAAATCATTATTTTACGGAAGCTTGATCATCCGAACGTTATGAAGCTCGAAGGGATTGTAGCTTCGAAGACGTCGCAGAACCTGTATCTTGTTTTCGAGTACATGGAGCATGACCTTGCAGGGCTTGCAGCAACTCCTGGCATCAACTTTACTGAACCACAGGTATAATAAAGTTTAGTGTTCAATTCTTTTTATATATGACCTCGAGTGTTATATATATATCTTCTGTTGGTCCTATAAGAAGGTGATTTTTTCTGTAGATTAAATGTTACATTCAACAACTGTTCCGGGGCCTCGAACACTGCCATAGCCATGGCGTCCTGCACAGAGATATCAAGGGCTCGAATCTTCTGATCGACAACAATGGAGTTCTTAAGATTGCAGATTTCGGTTTGGCTACAATCGTTCAGGCCAATTCGAAACAGCAGTTAACAAGCCGTGTCGTAACTCTTTGGTACAGGGCACCCGAGCTTTTGCTCGGTGCCACCGACTACGGAGTTGGTGTAGATTTGTGGAGCGTCGGATGCATAGTTGCCGAGTTATATGCTGGGAAGCCTATCATGCCTGGAAGAACAGAGGTGGAACAAATGCACAAGATATTTAAGCTGTGTGGTTCACCCTCAGAGGAGTACTGGCGGAAAACAAAGCTTCCACATGCAACAAGTTTCAAGCCTCAGAAACCTTCCAAAAGCCGGATCGCGGCGACTTTCAAAAACTTCGCTCCTTCTGCCTTGTCTCTTGTCGAAAAACTCCTTTCGATGGAACCGAAAAACCGAGGGACCGTTGCTTCAGTACTTAAATCACAGGTATTTGCATACCCTTGTACTGTTGTACATATATAAAACTTATCATGCTTGTTTACTAATCTTCTTCAAATATGAATTCACTTACATTTACTGTGTTTCTCCTTTTCAGTTCTTTAAGAAAGAGCCTGTGCCTTGTGATCCATCAAGCTTGCCAAAGTATCCTCCCAGCAAAGAACTAGATATCAAACATCGTGATCATGAAGCAAGAAGGTTCTTTTCTTTGTCAGACCCATTCGTTGTCACCTCCATGAAACCTAGACTTGTGTGTTCATGTTGTGTTCATATTATTTCCAGGAAAAGAGCAGAGACCATAAAAGGGCCTGGACCTGCATCTGTTAGAAGAGGTTCAAGAGATATTAAGGCAGTGCCTACACCAGAATTCCTTGTTGAGGGACAGTCGAACGGTGAGGAAGATTCTACAGGAAACAGCGGAGAGTTATCGATGCAAACACTTCAGACAGCCAACGGTTCCCTTAAGACAGGTGACAGAGCATCGAGCAAAGGCTATGCATCGGTAAATAACCACTGTTTCTGCTTAATTCTAACAATTATCGTCGTTGTTTGGAGCATTCAAGTGACTTACCATCATTTTCTACAATAATTCTGCATGTTTTTACTAAATATAGCTGAGACCATGAGACTGCAGATTATCAGAATATACAAATTGTGATGGTTGGCAGGGTTATGCACCAAGGAACAAGAAGATCCAATACTCAGGACCAGTGATGACTGCTGGAGGAAACATCGAGGATATGCTGAAAGAACATGAGAGGCATATCCAGCAGGCCATACGAAAAGCACGTCATGAGAAGTGAGTACCCAGTAACAGCTGCATCATAATGGACAATAATTGATGATGACGACTCCATCAGACTGTTTTCAATGGAAAAAAATGCAAGTCCGAACCCTCGTAAACCTACTTTGTACATAGTCACAACAAAATACACTGAGATTGTAATGCTATATAAAATTAGTGTAGTGAAAAAACCTATTTGTACATAGATAGTCATAACTAAACGTTGCAGTATACTGCAGTACAATTGTGAAAAAACCTTCTTAATAAACCTAACAATTTAGAAACGTAATAGAGGCTATACGAGATATAAATCGTCTGACAGGCGTAGGCAGGAAATGAAGATAACTCCTGCTTAACAACTTCCTGTAATGTAAACATGAGTCTGAATAATACAAAAAATGGTTATGTATACATAATTTTTTAATCTTGTTGTTATACACGAGATATAAATCGTCTGACAGACCTTTCATGATGGCGTCGACAATAAATGTGAACAATGCCTTCCTTGATGGAAAGCTACGTGATGAAGTAGTTTTCATGATGCAGTCGCCTGGATTTGAACAGTTTACGGTTGATGGTGCTTGTGTTTGCAAACTAAAGAAGGCTTTGTATGGACTAAATTTGTGTCCCAAATTTTGGACTAATAACTAAAATGTAAAATTTGAAAGTTTAGTGACCCAAGTAGAAATTTAAGAAAAGTTCAATGACCAAATGGTAATTTTCTCAAAAAGAATTTCTATCATGTAAATGAATAGTTCACCTCTAAGAATGATATTTATGTGTTTCAGATTTTTGATATCGTATTTGTATAAAAGATTATTAAGTGATAAATTTCGATAAAATATTCAGATAACCGAATCAAATAAAAAATTTACAAAAAATTAAGAAATAGTAGTAGAGGGTTAGTAATATTATTTTGATATTTTTTAATAGCAGAATTTAACATGAATCAGGTGCTTAACATGTCAACAAGTGAAAGATGAATATCAAATGCTTTTAGAACTTTTGCAGCCGATCTCCATTCCTCAATGGAAATGGGAGAGAGTCACGATGGATTTTATAACATAACTACCATTAACACCAAATAAGGAGGATTTAATTTGGTTCTAAGTCAATTTAGTTACAAATGTGTTGATATGGATATACACTTATTGTTTTAGTCATAATTTTGATGTTTCTCTACAAATCGTGACTTGGTGCTTGGCAATATTGAAATTTCATAAAAGAGTTTGTTGATACTTTTGGTGAAAAAAAGAAAGAAAAGAAGAATAGAAAATGAAAAAATGAAGTATTGTCTACTAGTGATGTTGGTGTTTTATGCTTGTTGTAGGTAGCCATTGTTAATCATGGGAGCAAAGAAGGATTTGTTGATGCTGAAAACAAATTTGTGTTAGTTCTTTACTCAAGAGAAGTTCGTTTGGAAGATTATTTAGATTTTTTGTTTTTCTTCTACAAGTTAATATAGAACTTAATGCTTAACAGCTGAGTATCCATCGTGAAGGAAAAATTCTGGGAAGAGTATAATATTTAACAACCTAACTTTTCTTCTCAAGATGAGCTTCAAATGCATCTAGAAGTTTGAAGTCTAACAGCTTTGCTTTCAAGAAAAAGATGGATGAATAAATACTGTTGTGTGCATAATGAAGAAAAAAGAAGAAGAAGAAAAGAAAAATATTGATTGAGTTTGTTTGAATAGTAGCTCACTGTCAGAGTAACAAGTGGTGCATTGATAAAACCACTAGTTGATAACAAAAATCTTTTCAAGGAAATTTAAAAGAAGAAGAAAGAAGAAAACATGATGAATGTTAGAATGTAATTATGTTGAAAACATTTTGATATTTCGATATAACAAATTCAGTTAAATGAATTTTAAGATTTTCCAAAAATTTTCTAAGTATTTCGATATAATTCGAATATCAAAATAATACTCCAAATCTTTCAAATGTCATTTTAATCCTTACTCAAGGTAAAATTAAGTTAATCTTAAAATAATTTCAAAACGATTTTACAAAATATTTCGAACCATCTCAAAGCCAAAAATTCCAGATTGCTCAGAGGGAATTTTTAATCCTTACTCAAGTGTAAAATTAAGTTTTAATCTTAAAATAATTTCAAAACGATTTTACAAAATATTTCGAACCATCTCAAAGCCAAAAATTCCAGATTGCTCAGAGGGAACCGATTCCCTTCTAAAAGGGTATCGATTCCCCTCCAAGAGGGTACTGATTCCCCCTTAATGGTTTGGCTCCGAGAATTCCAGTATGCTCGGAGGGAACCGATTCCCCCCTAGGGGGTACCGATTCCCCCCTATGTAACGGTCGAAATATTTGAATTTTACACTTAGGGAACCGATTCCCCTTAAGGGGTACCGATTCCCCCCACGCTCCAAACTGTTTTATTAATTAATTTCACACTAAAACGACTATATTATCTTCATTAATGATCCCCAACGTTCAAAAGTGATTCAAGGTGTATTTAAGCAAGCTTAGAAGTCATTGATCAATAACAAGAAACATCAAGTAACTAAAATCAAGAGAGAATCAAAGAGAAAGCATCAAACCTCAAGTTTGAGCATTTCAAGCCTATTTTTCATTCAATATTCATTTTGCTTTCAAGAACACTTATTATGCTCAATTGTATTCATTCCTGAGTGTTCTTTTCTTTGTTCTAGAATTGTGCAAACAATCCACCTTGTGAGGATTTCCTTGTAAGTTTGCAAATTTGTATTGTTCTCTTTGGGAGAGAGTGTTCTCAAGAATTTGGGGTATAATTCTTGAGGGTTTTTAAGGTTACTCTTTGTCCTCAAAAGAAAGACAAATTAGTGAATTTGTGGAAAATCCTTAGTGTGGATAGCTAAGGTAGTGGACGCAGACTTTGGTTGAGAAAGTCGAACCACTCTAAATTGTTGTGCAATTTCTTTCAATTTTCTACAAAAGCTTCCACCAAAATTTTATTGCCAATTCACCCCCTCTTGGTCGATTCCGTCAATCGATTAACTCAATAATTGGCATCAGAGCCTAACTCATTTGAAGGTTTAATCGCCTCTTGAGTCGATTCGGGAAGAGTTACATCGATAATCAAAGTCATCAATGGCCTCTACTTCAAACTTCGACTCTGGTCTCGATTCGATGCCCGTCAACAAGCCTCCTTTCTTCAATGGGGATAATTATGCCTATTGGAAAAATAGGATGATGTACTTCATTCAAGCAAGTGACATGGGAGCATGGAATATTGTAGAAGAAGGATACTTCAAGCCTCTCACTCATCCAAGATTATGGAGTGAAGGAGAGACAAAAATGTTCCAGCTCAACTCCAAACCATCCATATCATATTTTGTGCTCTTGGACCATATGAATACGGAAGAGTTTCATCTTGTACAACCACCAAAGAAATATGGGACAAACTTCAAGTCACTCATGAAGGTACCGATGTGGTAAAGAAATCTAAAATTAGTATTATAACGCATAGCTATGAAAATTTCAAAATGAAACCAAATGAAGATATCAAAGCTATGACAGATAGATTCTCAACGATTGTCAATGGTCTCAAATCATATGGAGAGATCATTTCAAATGAAAAGCTTGTGAGGAAGTTAGTCTACTCCCTCCCAAAATCGTGGCAATCAAAGAAGACGGCAATCATCGAGTCTAAGGATCTAGCATCCTTAACTCTTGAAGAGCTAATCGGTTCACTCCTCACTCATGAAATGATGCTTGAAGATGAGGTAGACCTTGATAAGATTGAAGAGACACCAAAGGAGAAGGAGAAGAAGAAAAACATTGGAGTTTCTGTCAAATCCACAAAAAATGAGAGTGATTCAGATGAAGATGACGATGACGAGGAAATGGCATTGTTTGCCAAACGGTTCAGAAAAATGATGAGACCTTACCGAGGAAGAAAATTCAAACGAAATGAAGGCCTCAAAAATGAACCAAAAGAGAAGGACCTGATCATTTTCTATGATGCAAAAAGCCGGGGCATGTCAAATATGATTACCCACAACTGAAGAGAAAGGGTCAATAAAAAAATAAGCACAAGGCTCATATGGCTACATGGAGCGATGAAAAAGGTTCTGATGAAGAGGAACAAGAAGTAGCAAACTTGTGTTTGATGACATTCAGGGAAGATTCTAAGGTAACCTCTAACTCATCTGATTTTGATGATTTATCCTATGATGAGTTATTAGAGGAATATAATGGGTTGGCTACGGATTATGAGAAATTGTTTTTAAAATATAAAAATGATGTTTCAAAATTGAAAAATGAAAATAAACTCATATCCAAAACCAACAACGATCTTGAAAGTAAAATCAAAGATTTGCAAATCAAACTAGAAGAGTTTGAAAAGAAAATTTTGGATTTGCAAAATTTACTTTCAAAGATCAATGATGATCATCAAAAGAAAAATTGATGATCTTAAAATTTCTTTTGATAAAGTTGGAACAAAACGTTTTGAAAATTCAAAATCTAACTTTGTTAGAAAAGTTTTAAAAACTACAATCATAGAGGTCCTCAAAGAACCTCTAATGGAAAAATCGTTAGAAGTATATGGGTTCCTAAAGAGCTCATTACTACTAAAAATAAGGATATTCCACACAAATGGATACCTAAGG